GAGAAACTATCTACCAATAAACCGCACTGCTGGTCGTTATCAAGACGAGCGGATAGCCAGGGCAATACTGACATCACGCGCGCGCAGAATTGCTATCAGGCCCATACATAACCTTGACGAACGGTGGTGCGTGCATGAAAGGCGGACGAGTCTCGCTAGATAGCAATCCAATCGTGTTGTCAGAGGAGAGTGCATTGACAGTAAAGCGAGAATTCGTGTAGTACATCCAATACGGGAAATTAAATAGTCCAATCCACCCAGCTTCCCTCCCTTACGCTGAAATGATTGCTACGGGGTGAGGAGAAGAGGACTGAGCGGTAGGTCTAACCAGGGTCCCAGCGGAGATACTTATCGATGACGAATTAGGGTATGGTTCCGAAATATGGAAAGGATGAGAGCCAACCATGGCCTTTTTGTCTATCTCTGGGGTAATGTAATTTGCTGTTTTAGCTCATAAAGAATAGAAGGTGGGGAGGTAAGATACCTTCTTTCGATTTCTAAACAAGGCGTTCGGGCAGGCTATGCTCGCTGCTGGCATTTATATCCTCCGCTCCTTATATTGGAGAGGGAACTCGGATGTTCGGCCTGCTGAGTTTTCTAAGGTTTGCCGAGACGCACACAGGGAGGGGGGGTGGGTTTAAAACCCACGCAGGATCTCCCAAATATTCAATGAGCTGTCATTACCACACACCTCTCAACTCGTTCGTCAAACAGTTCCAGAAACTACCCTGTTCGCCAGCCCGCGAGTATTTATATGATGCATTTCCTTGGAGGCGCCTGTCAAGGGTATGAGCTCAGCTATATATCATTATTGAATCCATGATGCACGCCGCCCGGGCCGAGATACATTTGGCTGACAGGTAAGGGGTTTCCAACCCTGAGAGACTGCTGGGCCACCATGGGAAGGGAGGAATCACTGCGGGATATCAGGTAGTTGGTTCGAAGACAAACTGCCAACGTTTAGTTGTTTTTCTCTTTCGATCCATTATACGCATCTGGAAAGAAAAGATATGAGTTGAATTGAGAGGGCTCTTGGGGGAAGAGAAAATGCAACATCAAATACCACATGTTGCTTCAGAACGAGGTGGTAGTCAACTACTGAATGAACGATGATACATATTTTTCAGCCTTTTTTGGCTTCAAATTGGTCTTGGTCCAGCTTAGAAAGGTGGATGGGCAGCGTGAAAGTCAGAAATTTGGACTCTCTGACTCCTGAATCCCAAAAGAATGGCTCACGCAGCATGTCCAGCATGTCCCGAATGTCCAGGTTGGCCGATGTTTGCTCCAATAAACAAGATCCCCTTTCAAGCGTTTGATAGGAAGACAGGGAAACTAGAAACTCGCAATCTGCATTTCCTTCGGGTGGCAGCCCAGGGGGTGTACCTCTTCACCTCCAGCGTATAATTTAAACATACCTACCTACCTACCAAGCTTTCCAAGAGGAATTGGCGATTGTAGCCGTCGAAACCCCGCACCCTAATCCACTTCGCTAGGCTTCCTTACCGAACGAAAAGTGAGCAGCTGAGAAGGCTAAGGCCGTCTGTGGTCTGTAAAACTCCAAGGAGAATTCCGAGTTTGCCCCGGAAGGCCAGGGGCAAGGGGGCGAGGAGGTTGCTGGGAATGGGGGAGGATCATCATCATGCAAAGAATCATCGTCACCGAATGGTGTCTGCGTTAGAGCAATCGTTTGCAGACCTGGCCATTTTGTTAGCGAGTTGGTGGTGTAACTGCGCCATCGTAACCGTGCTCTCACTTCCGCGGCATTCTAGCCAGCCATGGTGGCTCGCTTGCAACCAGCATCAAAACGCAGGTTTGCACTCAGCGGGGTCGGGTGTGCTGGTGTCAGGAGCTCGAAGGAAGGGGGCCCAAAAATGGTTTATTTTCAATCCTCAAAGAAGCCGTCAGGATATACAAATAAATACGCAAATTGTTTTCTCTCGTAAATAAATGAAGGCGGTTTGTTTGCAAAAACAAGCAAGTAAAACAGAACAAAAAACCCTGTATAGGATATTTAAGCAGACGAGGTCCTAACTTATATAAATACTAGTATCCTGACCAAATGTATGAAAACAACGAAAGCAAATATCCCCATCACCTCATAAATAATGTCATGAATGTGGTACCGTACACAGCTAGAGAGGTGTTGAATGTCTGTTTTTGGGTTTTGTTCGCCGCGTGCAAGGAGAGTGAGGTTGATGTTTCTGAAAAGGAGTTGAAGGCAAACCTTCCCAGGAAAATCTTCAATAATTACACAAAACTCCATGCATGTGTCTCTAAGGGAAGAGGCAGGCCATATATTCAGGATTCACCTATTCCTCTTTCCCAATTCCCTATTTGCTCTCTTCGGTTTTATATATCCCGCATAGACAAGCTTAAAGGCTAATCTAAGCATGAATCATATATATGCATCTTGCCAAGTATGATATTGATTGTGTTATCTGCTATGTAGGTATATGTTGGAGTGTTTGAATTTGGCCTTAAATGATAGAGGTAGATGGAAAGAGGTTAAGCCATATTCTACTGAAGCAACCTGAGGGTCTGTTATCGTGATTGTACTTGAAGAATGCCGCCTGAGACCTGTACAGCATAGGTGAAACTCAATTGTGTTAGTCGCAATCCTCGCACGCTCAGCAAGCAGGCTGCACATACTGCACTGTACAATACATTGATCGTACATATTGAAGTCTTTCGTACGCAGCTAAGGCATGGGAAGAATTTTAAGTAGTAAACGTTAACTTAACCTTCCAAATCTCAAAGAAAATTCTAACTAGACATAGGAAAAGATTTCGTAGGTTCAAATATCCCAAGGGTACGTATATATCCAGTACCCAGGAGCGCGAAGGGAAGAACGGCAAAGGATGAGAAGCGTCCGTAACCAGTTAAAACTAAAAATAAACTAAAAGCAAGCAGGTATGGAGTGCTCAAAGGAAATGAGGCAGAACATGGCATTAAAAAAGCTTAAAATGAGAGGAATTGAGGGCGACAAGCACTCAATCACGTCTGTGCAGCGGTTGGTTCTGATCTGGCGGGATAAAACCTGTACAGTTCACGTTAGATTAGTCTTTATTTCATATTTGTGAGCTTCTTAATGTTTTGACATCTCAAGGCCAAAGGAAAATTGAAGAAAGAATCGAAAAGATTGAGTAACTCCCATCTGGGAGAGCGAAGGACACGGTGAGGATCCGGGAGGATGGGTGGGTAATGGACTTACCAAGCTGCGACGGCGATGATGATGTAGAGAACCATCAACAACACACCCTCTAGCCAATTTGACTTGCCGTCTTGGATTAAATAGTTTACCTTTGGTATTGCGAAAGGAATATTGTCAAACACGACCACGATGATGACGGAATGGGAAGAAGGCCGACTTACCAGTAGCACGGAAACGAAGAGGACCGCAATTTGGAATCCATCAAAGTATAATGTCTATTCATAGGGTTAGATAGAGATAAAAAGCGGGGGAAAGGGGCGTCGTCGATACATACCATTTCATTGATGCCTGATGTGCGCCGATGAGGAAAAATAGTCAGTAAACAATGAATATATATTTGGAGAGGCTCGAAGGTCTGGTTAAGAAATGTGATGGGGTTGGC